GGGGGGGGGGGGGGGGGCATGCTCAATAAAAAAAAGTGTGGGCCCTCCTTGTGAGGTGCGTGTCAACGCTAATGTAGGTGTAGTACAATTGTTAGTTGAAACAAGTCGACCCAATCTGAACTGACCCTCCTCAATAAAAGGTCTGGCACAATCTGCCTAAAAATCCCTCATGTGAGGGGCGTGGTCAATGACAGTGTACAAATAGCAAAATTTTTCAACTATTGCGTTATGCCATTGTCAATATCCTCATTCGAAGTCACATTGTTTGCCGATTAAGGGAAAGGAAATGGGATATTAAGAGATTTTTGAAACTTTATGGACCATTGCTTCATATTTGGAAATCAGAAGGCCTTTATTGTCAAAAAACTCTTAAAAACTATTACTGTGGATAATTTGAGAAGGAGAAAACAAATTTAGGGACTGTTTGGGTCCGATTTTTTCACCCAAAAAATTGATTTTTTGATCGTTATTTTATTATTCCATCTGTCATATTTGACTTCTTCTCTTACAGGTGGATCCCACTTTTCTTCTAACGATCAAAAAATTAATTCTCAAAATCACTTCAAAACAGGCTCTTATATTGTTTGGTACTTTATGCATAAGAGATTTGTGCTTATGTGAACTGTCTGCATGTCTATGGAACGCCATTTTTGCTTCGTTTGGTCTGGATGCTTGCAGCTTTTCGGTAGTTCTTGTGGCGTTGGAAGTGCGAGTGTATGCATAATGAGCATGGTAATAGCAGGAACTAGAGCTTGGTTCCTCATTTTCTGATGTGGTGGCTTGTTTTGTTTTTCATATTTTTCTTTTGAATTAGACGGGGCCACATATATTTGAATAGGAAAATGCTTTTTGTATACTGGGGTGTCCACCCTTGTGTACAACCCCACCCCCCCTGCCCCCTCTTTCCGTGAGGGGGCTATATCCCCATCATACAATTAGCACAGCCCATTTGAATAATGCTGTCTGGAGCTTGGTTCCTCATTTTCCGATGTGATGGCTCTTTTTGGTTTGTTTTTAGCCCTTTTGCATATTTGAATAATACTATTTAACACCATTAATATTATTCTATGTGGTATTATATAATTAGTTTAATTATAGGTGAAATAATTTGATTTATTTAATTGTACCTTTCATTTAATGACACGAGTGCCATCTAAACTAGCGCTGTAACACCGGTGGTGTTAAATAGCATCATTCCACATATTTTGTGTAGTAATTCTCATAAATTATCTTTGTCAATATCTGGACTTCAAATCCTACGATAATGCTTGAGGGATAGAGAAGTTTATTCATTACTTCTTTTATGAAGATAAGCTCGCTTTCCTTTTTTTCATCCGTCCCAAATTATATGCCACTTTCCTTGTTGAGAATATTGATGAATTTTTAGTTTTCTAATGTATGAATTTAACGTACCTTGTTATGAACAACTATGAAATACTGTTATTTAAATCATTTTTAATGTAGGGGTCTATTAGAAAAAATGTAAGTAAAATTTATTGTTTCAACTATATTAATTATATTTTCTTAATGAAAATGGACGTAATCCTGTTTTTGTAATATGGATGTAGTATTATTATTGTACTTCTATGTTTCGGTAAATGCGGCTATGCCATTACTGATCTTCCATTCAGTTAAGCATTTACAGAGCCTATGTTTCTTAGAGATTATTTGATAGTTATTTTTTTTCACAATCATTTTTAACTACACATTCTCCTATAAAATAATTTTATATGTAAATCATTATTTTCCTATTTTTTAACTACCATTTTTTTTATAAAAAAATTACTTTTCAAAAAATCTACATCGAATAGGTCCTTAGAGCATCTTCAATCTTGGTGCAAAATAAGTCTGAAATTTAGATTTTCGAAGTGGTGAAAAACCTCTCTAATGGAAAAATACAAAAGAAATGTAAATTACATTGTTCGATTGAAAAAAAAAAAAAAAACAGAAGCAATTTTATATCCACAAAAGGCAAAAAGTGGATTTAGATCTCCTCATTTGAGTAAAATTTGAATTTGTATTTATCGAAATATAAATGAAGACGCAAAGGTAAATTTTTAGAAAATTAATTTACACTTAAATTTACATCACCGTTAAAATGCTCTTAGTAACATGTTTTAAGCTAGCATTTATAGCTCGCCTAGAAAATTAAAGTTGCATATGTTTCTCGTCACACGAAATTTGAATTAAGGGAACCCAGGTTATGTCCTAGTTTTAGTGCTTGTTTGGTAGAGATTTTGATAATTGATTTTTTAACCGTTAGAAATAAAGTGGGTTCTACCTGTGAGAGAAGAGTTCAAAATGACGGTTAAAATAGTGAAATAACGGTTAAAAAATTGATTTTAATTGACTTAAAAGCTCTATTAAGAGCCCGTTTGGTAGGGATTTTGAGAATTGATTTTTTGATCGTTAGAAGAAAAGTGAGGTCCACATGTGAGAAAAGAAGTCAAAAATTACGGCTTGAATAGTAAAATAAAAATAAAAAAATCAATTTTTTGGGGCAAAAAATTCCTACCAAACGGGACCTAAATAAGCTCTAAACTCTTTTATGTGTTACTATGGATATGATCATTAGATGCATAGTGTACAGGAAGAGAATAAAAGAAATGAGCTAATTTATCCCGATATGAATGTATTGTCACACGTTTGGCCGTACTTACAAGTACAAATTGAAGTAATTTTTAGTAAAGCTGAACATTTTTAAATTGTGGTTGCAGAGATTTATGATTGTCCCTGTACATCGATGCTACTGCATGTTGTTGATTTCCTTTCCTTTTATGCTGTTTCTTCTTTGAAAAAATCCACTTGTACCCAAATTGTCCACACGGATGAGGCTCACGTTGCACGGCTCCCATCATTATGTACAAAAATTATGTATTTCTACCATAGCCCTTCTTTTTTAGTAAGAAAAAAAAGGGTATGTTGGGTTTATATATTTCGAAATATTCATTTTATTATCGATTTATTCCATGAAAATATGTTAATACATGGTGCTTAAAAAAAAAAAAAAAACGAAGTAGCATGATGGTTAGAAAAATTACACTTCGCCAAACAAAAAAAAATAAAATTTAAACCTGCTATTTAATACTTGCGTTGGAATAAAGCAACTTTTGAGGCTTTGAACGCTCTAGGAGCTATTAATATTGTGCATATTTGTAAATTGACTATAAGTTGTGAATCTTATATGTGTGCATAAGTCACGGTAGTTATGAGTCTCATAATTCGTGTGAATAAAAAATATATTTGACCAATTCAAATTATAATTTAATTACTTCCTCAATTAAAAATCTGAGGTCAAGTCCATGACATGTTTTATTTTTTCAAAAATAAAATAAATCGGTAATCGACATTCTATATCATTACACATTATACAATGAATTTTATTGTTCCTTCTTAATTTTGTCTAACATCTTGGAGTTCATCATAAAAGGAAATCAGCCAACACTGTCACAATTTTAAGTGTCATATTAGTATTAGATTCGTGCATAATTGAGAAGTAATTATAATCAATTTAAACTATAATTCAATAAAAATAAGTAATGATAAATTAATAAAACCTTTGAATTTCATGAAATACGCATATAAATAATATATTTGATCGATTATATATAAATTATAAACAGTTCCAAACAAGCTTGGACCCAAAATTTCATCCTGTTAAGGTATTCTACATTTGCCTAAACCTAATTTAACATTTCCCTTACCAGCTCAATCAATATCCCAAATAGAAGCTAAGCAAAATAGTGTCAAAATTCATTACTGCTGCAATCACAAAAAGAACTTTCTTATGAAGAAAATGAAAAATATCCCACCATAGAGGCTGTCAACTTATAAAGGAAAAAGTCTATTAAGCCCCTATTCAAGCCCCATTATCTCAAAAGTACTTTTTTTTTTTTTTTTAAACTCATTTTTGACTACACTTCCTTTCAATAAAATAATATGCACTTAAAAAAAAATTCGACTTTTTAATCACACAATTTTCAAAAAATAAGTATTACAAAATTTATTATTAGTTAAAAATGGGGCTCAAAAGGTGCTAAATAAACTAGAAAATAAAAAATAAAAATCTCAGGCCAACTATTAATAGTATACAGTGACAGACAATGGTGTTCAGTAGAGCATCATCAAGAATCTGCCCACATTTATCGAGAAAACTGTATCCAAATTCTCCGGCCACCGCTCAGTATGTGTAATCAAACCGCCACCGCCACCGCCACCACACTCACCATTTCAGTGGCTGATCACTCAACACCACCACTACCGCTGCCACCTTCTCCGCCACCGTCAACCGATCTCAATCTTGATCTAATATCGCTCCCCACCGGTGTAAAACACAAAGAACAACCTACCCAAATTATTATACCAACTCTATCTGAGATTATAAGTGAAACCAAAGCATTACTTAACCTTGCTTTTCCCATAGCACTAACGGCCCTAATCCTATACTCTCGCTCCATGATTTCCATGCTTTTTTTAGGTCATTTTGGTGATACTGAACTTGCTGCAGGATCTTTAGCCATAGCATTTGCCAACATAACTGCCTATTCTGTGCTATCAGGTTTAGCATTAGGAATGGAACCCCTTTGTTCACAGGCTTTTGGTGCTCAAAACCCAAAGCATCTTTCTTTAACTTTGCACAGAGCCATTGTGTTTCTTCTTGTTTGCTCTATACCAATCACATTTCTTTGGCTCAATGTTGAAAATATTCTTCGTTTTTTACTTCAAGATCCAAAAATTACTTTAATGGCTCAAACTTATCTAGTTTTTTCACTTCCCGATCTTGCCACAAATTCTTTTATTCATCCCATCCGTGTTTATCTTCGGGCTCAAGGTATTACAGAGCCGCTGACATGGGCTTCGCTGGTTGGAACAGCTTTACATTTACCCTTTAACTACTTCTTGGCTTTGCGGCTCAAGCTTGGCGTAGCTGGAGTTGCGGCTGCCTCAGCTTTGTCAAACTTGGTAGTGCTGGTGGTGCTTGTTCTGTACGTTTGGGTCCGTGGGTTGCACGTGCCGACGTGGACCAAGCCGAGCTGGAAGTGTTTGACTGGATGGATGCCGCTTATTCGGCTAGCCATGCCAAGCTGTGTCTCGGTGTGCCTCGAATGGTGGTGGTACGAAATTATGATTGTTTTGTGTGGACTTTTGGTGGATCCTGACTCCACTGTGGCATCCATGGGTGTTTTGATTCAGACGACATCCTTTCTTTACGTATTTCCATCTTCATTAGGGTTTGCGGTGTCAACTCGAGTAGGGAACGAGCTCGGAGCGAACCGACCCAATAAGGCTCGAGCCTCGGCCATGGTGTCGATTTTCTTATCGGGATTTATGGGCTTGTCAGCTATGACATTTGCCACATCCATGAGAAATTTGTGGGCCCAAATGTTCACCAATGATTTGAACATCGTACGATTGACATCAACAGCTCTCCCGATCCTAGGGTTGTGCGAGCTAGGAAATTGTCCACAAACCGTTGGATGTGGGGTCATACGTGGGACCGCTCGTCCGTCCGTGGCAGCTAGCGTGAACCTTGGTGCGTTCTATCTAGTGGGCATGCCAGTAGCAATTGGGCTTGGGTTCTGGGTTGGGCTTGGGTTTTTTGGACTATGGATTGGGCTGCTGTCGGCCCAAGTTTGTTGTGCTGGGCTGATGATGTATATGGTTGGGACCACAGATTGGAAGTACCAAGCCCTGAGGGCACAGAAGCTAACATGCATCGGATGTGGCGAAACAACACTGCCGTAAGGTCATGATATGACGTAACATCGACAATATAATTTGGTTTCCTGTCTTATCTCTAATTTTCACTATTTTTAATTTTCTTTTTCTGACTGTGTTCAGAATTAATGGTGTATCACTGATTTTTTTTGGCTGTTTGCTTCTAATCTTTTCCAGTCTTGGATTTATTTTGTTGGACAGTGTTGACATTGTTTAATGTATATATTAATTATGATTGAATTTGTATATCGAATTTTCTTTTAAGATGCAACACCATTTGTGACATATTGTCTAGGCAATTTCTTTACATTTGTGCTTGTAGCATGTACAAGAATTTCATTTGTAACACTAGAAACTTTTTATATTGAAAAGTCTCTCGACAATTCTCTTTCCAACAAAAAAAAAAAAAGAAAAATAAATAAATAAATAAAATTAATGAATTTGTACTAAATATTCGATATTATAAGTGAATTTTTTGATGAGAACTAGTGGTTTCTCATTACATGGGATTGAGAATATGATTATAAAAATACCATTAAAGCTCGAGTTATGTTATATGTACAAAGTTGGTTTACAAAATTGGTTGATAAAGTAATATCTATACCAATAATTTCAAGAACAGATTTTAATATCATTCGAAATCAATAGCCTATATTTTGCCAATACTTGTTTTGTCGACCGAATTTGTAAACACACTTTGTACAAATAACATAATACATTAAAACCTAGGTTCAGTTATTAACCTCTACTTAGACCTAATTGCAGATTGAATTCCCCGATCCTATTTTACGGATAAAAAATAACTATGAACAATGTTGAAATGCATAAAATTCAACAAATATGTCATCGCAACATGACAAGTTCATGCCTTTCACTGAGTGAAAGTCATCGTCTCCAAATTTCTTATATTGCACGAGTCGAACTCATACATTAATGAGCCGATCAGCAGCTCTATGGCCTTTGTTCGTTCTTCTAATGCCTCTCCTTTATTGTGATGTGTTTACTTCATATATTACAAATTTGTTTACATGATTTTTATAATTTGAAATGAAAAATGGGCACTTTTCGGATTTTATATACGGCACTCAAATTTTCACTTATCCTATGATTTTCAGTGTCGGGCCATCACGGGCATCGCATAAGCCTTAACCCTATGTTAAAGTAACATTCACAATGGGTGTAAGAGTTGAGATTTATTGTTCTTGTTAAATGTCACTTTGATCATTTTCTACTTAAATTTTGACACCTCAACACAGACAAATACTTGGACACCACTTCTACCCCATACTCAATAAAATTATTGAATAATGTTATCTAATACCGGTAATGCTAAAACACCAATCTATGTGACATTATCATGTGATATGTTCAATTAAAGGTGAAATTATATGATTTATTTAATTTCATCTTTCATTTAATGACACGTAACGCCACCTACACCGATATTGTAATATCAATGGTGCTAAGTAACACTACTCAAAGTTATTAGTTATTATTGGAAGAAAACAAAGTGGTCGTGATCGCCATTTCAACGTCACTAAAATATGTAAAGCGGAAGAAAAAACAATAAACAACCTAATCCTAAGCCATCATGCTTCTCACATGGTGCCCTAGCAAGCAACTCTACAGTCCCCATCCTATGTCTCTCTCTTTTCGTGCATGTTTTCCACCTTATCTAAATCTCTTTGTGATCTTGTAACTTTTTCTTCGGTTCCACAACCTACCAACATCGCCATCATCATTCAACCCTACTTCATTATGCCTGTCTATATACACACCTAAGAAGACCTAAAATCTTAACATTTTTTTGTTATAATACAACGTTGTATCTGTAATGTTGCAGAGAAACATTGTAAAATGGTTTTAGGGTTATAGCCTTTAGCCTTTGTCCACCTTGTAAGCAACACATTTTGAATATTCTTCTCGACAGCTTTGCATGCATGAGGTTTGGAGTTCCATTATTTGCTCAACTCACTGTTTCTTTATTCCTCCAATTTGCATGACATGTTTGATGTTCCCCCAATGGAGCTTTTTCATGGAGTATACACATGAATATATGTTTTTGTCTCCCTCTCTCACTCTCTCTATATGCCCCTTTTTGATTCAGCTGGAAAAGTTTATTAAAATCTAAGTATCTATGCATTTTGAAATAGTTGATTGATGGAGAATGTCTGGATAAAAAATAAAGAAAAAATTTGGGATTGCATATAATTTTATTTTTTTGAAAAATGTGTGGCTGAAAAAAATAGAAAAAATGTCTTAGAAAATAAAGGAGATTAAACAAGGGTAGATCAAATATAACAATTAATAACTACAAATTTTATGAGAGTCGCAACTTTTTAGCCATACATGATTCCATATATGATTCCATTAACTTTTATCAAAATATATTAAAAATCTAATTTTTTTGTTTAAACCAAACAAAGAGTTATTATGGAGAGATACATAGGCGGGGAGGGTGAGGCAAAAACACATATTCATGTGTCGCTTTTATATATACACGAGATTGTACCGTAGTAGAAATGGAAAACGAAATGTGTCACTACACGATACTAATTAAAAATACTATTTACAAAATTTTGAAAAAAAAAAAAAAAAGGACAGGCAACATTGTGAAAACATATGAAAGATTAGGGTCATTATTATAAATTAAATCATTTTATTAAAACAAACTTATTTAACATAAATTTAAACTTAGATCATTTGATAATTTTATTGTAGTATACGAATTAAAGTCTGAAATTATATGAATTGCTTGTTGAAGTCCGTAATTAAGTTACTTTTGACTTGAAGTCCACAAAAGGTCCATTATAACGTGCAATTCTTAAGCCAAGTTTTTAAAAGAGTTTCCAAACCGAAATGCTAGCATCTTAATATTTTTTCATATATATTAGTGCGTGTATATATTATACTAATAAAGAGTTACACTCCTCATTATTGTGCTACATATTTCTAGCTTCTTAGGCTTCAATGACCTCTACCATCAACCTCTACTCTTTTTGGAGTGGATACGTGTGGACCCATGAAGAACGTGGACGAAGATACCGTATAAAGAATAATGATATTTAATTCTAATCTAAGTGGCTACAAATGATATGTTCAATTAAATAAATCATGTGACAGTATGCATTTAACTGAATTTGTTATTTAATGTCATGCAATTGTCACCTAAATTGGTGTTTTGATGCTAATGATGATAAATAATGTTACTCCCATGCAAATGGTTTTGGAGGGGGAAATGCCTGTAGACATAGCATATGTTTGGGAAACAATTTTAGGAAACTACAAATTTATTTTTAGTATTCAATCATCGTGACAATATATATTTATTACTCATTATTATCAACACATTTTTTGGTTCTCACCACTATTCCACCTAAAAAATTCTTAAAAAAATATTAATAATCTTTCCCATAGAGACATAAGCTAATAATTTTAAAAAAAAAAATCATTTTTTGAAATAGAGAAATGATACATTATGGTTGTCAAATGGATAAAATTGGTTGTACAGTCATAGTCGGACTATACAACCTACAGCCCCCTCACAAAGGAGGGGGCCCGCGCATTTTTTTATTGGCGTGAGCCCCCTCCTTTGTGAGGGGGTTGTAACCCGTGCTGTGTGCCAAGCTGTGCACACAGCACGGTTCTTGTCAAATATGTTAAGTCAAGTCAATATATACTGTCAACATTTTGGTGGCTCATAATGGGATTAATTAATGCATCCAAGAATTTTGGTGTTTTAGGTCAGAATTTTTTACACGTATAGTTCTAAGGCTTAAAGTGTTGATGCAGCGGAGGAGAAACTTTAGCATATCCTGAGGATCGCGACCCTGCCAAGGGAACGAAATGAAGCCATTAATCTGCCTCGGTGTATCGAGTGGCTGCCTCTGTAGTAACCAGATGGGGGGTTAATTTTGTGCATCTTCTTTTATTAGACCATGCTATATGTACACAACAGTTGATGCATTGGTTTACACCTTAGTGAGTTGATAGGTTTTGGTGTATTGATTTTAACAGCAATTTTTTCAATACATGGCTAGATTTTTGACACATAATGGAGTGTCACCTAAGCTGCAGAAAATAGGTGTACAAGTAGATTAATTCTCTTTTATTTTGCTCCAGAGGCGTTTTGGTCATTAATGGGAGTTGGAATTTTATTTTTTTTTCCACATGTTAAAATTATTTATTGACTTTTGTTTTGTGTTTTTGATTTTTGGTTTCTCTTGAAAAAAACTTGAAGAGTTATCTTGAGGCTCAATCCATCCTCGTGTTTATGGAAGATTAATTTCACGCTTTCGCTTACATTAAAGGTACTGCCTCAAGTTTTTTTCGCTTCTCTTTTAGAAATAAATAAATTCCAACATGTTATCTTTTCGTTAAGAGAAGCTCACATTGGTTGGCTTGCTTGGATTGCAAAGTTTTCATAATTAATCTTGCTCATTGAAGTTATTTTACAACTTCAACGCATGATTAACGAAAATCTTAAACTGTTATTCCCTCCGTCTCAATTATATAGGCTGAATTTCATTTTTCTCTTGTCCCAAATATATATATCTGTTTCCTAATTTAGTACATTTTATTTAGTTTATTTACCAATATATCCTTATTCAATTTTTCTCACTTAATATACCAACTTCTTGAAATCATCCAAATACACACATTTCCTTTGAAAATATGGAACAACTCTCATTTCTTCTTCTTCAAATTAAATCATTCAAATTCTTTTCTAATTCCAATAATAATTTGCTACTGCATACTAAAAATTAAATAGGGATAAATTAGAAACTATCTGAGCAAAAATTAATTTTATAATGACATTAAAAAAGATTTCTTAATCCCTATGAAAAATGAAATAAGCTTATATAATTGGGACGAAGAGAGTATCATTTTCTCTTCTGTATGCAGTGTGGTTGGGGAACTCAAATGGTACGAGTCTATGAGACTCGAAGCTGGCAATTATGATTTCCCCATAGTCCGTTTTTACATTTCCCCCCATGTTTGATAGAAAGGACGACAAATGAGAGACATAAGCT